ATGACATGTTTTTTCTGATTGGTGTACATAGTTATTCTGTTAGCCATACACTCTTTTTTCTTATCGACCATGTACAGTAAATAACAATTGCCACAATACTGAAGAAATATTACGCTCTTTCTTTTCCTAGTATCATCTCAAAATCCACTATGTTAGAATTTGACATGAGTCTCATATGTATTGTGAAATAAAAGTTAAATCACATCATCTTTTTTGAGCCAGATGGAAGTTAACTCATATACTTGAACGCAGAGTTAATGCCCTTCTGGCTCTGAACGGATGATTATGGTGGTTTTGCTGTAATAAATTGTTCTTCCACTATTTATTTGATTATTTTTCTACTGATGAAGAATAAAGTAATTCAGCATGGTATCGTCTGTTTGGAGCCGGAAGGGCGTTAACTACAATGTTATATTATACCTTTACACAGAGATAATGTCCTTCTTGTTCTCAGCCAGCAATATAATGATTATTATTCTTTTGTCTTTAAAAATCAAAACTGAACACGGGCTTCAACATGTGTAAAATTATCTGTTGGTTTGTTTGAACTTTGGTGGAGCAGCAAGGAATTTACTTACTTACTTTGTACATAGTCTATTACATTAGTGCCTTTTTACCACTCTGCCAATAATACTTGTGTACTTATGGTTATGTAAAATGGTGCCATGTACTCAATAAGTTGCATTTCATTGAAATTATTATTTAACTTTTTAAGTACATTTTGAGAAATCAGTCCATATAGCTGTGGGAAGGAAGATTAAATGTATCTGTATGGTGATAATTATATTAAACTTCTTTGAAATTTCACCTGTAGTTAGGATAATATATATGTTGTTAGGATTATCCATACCATGGTACAAATATAATTGTTTCTATTCTTATTGAAAATAATAATGGGTCATTTCTATTATTAATGTGGATCACTTTTCTTAAACTTTAAGGGAAGTTTATTTCTAACTTTTTCAAGACAAATTACGTAACAATTGAAATAATAAATTCATGATAATGGCTTCTTATGTAGTGCTCATTTATCTGTCATGCACTTCCAATGGTCTATAAAGACCATTTCAGAATGTTATAGATTTACAGTGAACATTAAAAACTTAAGCATTGCATTAAAACCTGTATATAAATACCACCACATGAATACAATGAAGATGGCCTACATGTATGTGTAGGTATAGACTACCATCTGCAATATACATTATTACCTCTACACCCAAAACCCCGATATCCTTTAATACTAAAAAATATAGACAGTATTTAAACTTGTTTTAAAATTCAGGTCATTCAAATCAGGAAATAGTTAGATTTTGAGTTGTACATTCTCTACAATTTATTACCCAAATTCTTCCAAACTGCCTTTAATGTCGTATTAGTAATGTAATCAGTCTAGGAAATATTTATTCCCTTTTAGTATCATTCATTAATATCAGATGGTTTTCCAGTTTTACAATGTGTGGCCCTTGCACATTTTGTGTAGAATGTAGTCGCTTGGCATGAATTGTTTGGCAGGGATGTATTTCATTGATTTTGCTGAATTAAAATGTAGTGGAAGATATTTTCTAAATGCCCAAGTTGAATTCTAGAAGAAATTGGCAGAAACCTTTTCCTCATTGCATGTAGAAAGGGTTGAAGGATGTTAATGTTAATTGGGAATTTCTAAAGCAATTTCTCAACTATTTGTAGATATACAGATTATGGTTACACAACTGATACTTTATTTGGTTTTATTTGTTACTGTGTTTGGGCATTTATTATTGATGTAGTATTGATGACTTTATTGCCATCAAAACATATTTAGCAGATTAGGTTTTTATTATTTTGAGCTATCAATGTACCAAGTTTGCACGAATGCCAACATTTGTTCTTGTGAAAATATTTGTAAGGGTCGTTTCTATCAAAACTGTACGATAGAAAAACATGTGATGTAAATTTAAAAACATGATCTATTCTTGTATCAAGTAATATTAGATACATGTATATTTACCATGTAAATGTTTTTGATAATTGTTGTTTCAGTAGCTTTTGTGCCGTTTAATTTACATTTAAAGCCCAGAGGTTTGTGTATTTTCTGTTGCTTCCAATAATTCCTATCAATTTTCAACGCGAGAACAGTAATGCATTGTAGTTGTTACAAGTATTTGATTGAAATACATGTATGTATGTATTGAAACTTTCTATTTAATGGACTGTGTGTTGCCAAACAGTTCAAGAAAGTATATATAATGCAGGGACTTTTTTGTTTCTTCTTTTAAAGTTCCAACATTTGTGTTGAAGCCACTGTAAGGCTGTAATATCCAGTGTACGACACGATTACTAACATTTCCAGAAATTGAACTTAGTGTGAGGTGGAAATAGCATCAAGTACAAAAGTAAGGTGTGGACATATTCAAGATGTGATTTCTTAAAACTGCTTGGCCCCTAATTCACACAGCTAAATTCATATAAGTAAGCCATGGTATAAACCATAGTTTCATTGGCAGTCATGGGCCCAGTCATGCGCCCCCCCCCCTTATAATAAATAATAATTATAGGCATTTCTATAGCACCGTCTATCTAAAACTTCTATTCAGAGGCGCATTAATTATTACCCCGGCTTTAGCCTAGCTGCCATTACAGCGCTCCAGCATTTCAAGGAATTAATTCCTGCCATTTACCTCACCTTGGACGAGTGTGGCAAAAGAAGATTAATGCCTTGCCTTGCCATGACCTTTGAATTTCAAGTCAAGGGCTTAAACCACTCGGCTATGACACTTCTTTGATAAATTTAGTATCTGGCATGTCTTAGGAACACATCAAGTATATAACAAAAAGGAGATATTATGCCCTTCCATCTTCCTGGCAGCAGATTGAGACTCCCAAAGGCCACTGAAAATATCTTCATTTCTCTTTTTGCTTGCTTGTTGCAAAATCTTTGAACTTGAACTCTCTGCCCAGAGAATGTTTTGGCATAACAATGACAAAAATTGACAGTCAATAACTGAAACTTTCATGCATCCACATGTTTCATATTAGGTACCCAAGAAAATTAAGAACTTTGCTCTGATATTGTTATTAGTGACTTCCCTTTTTGACATTTATCTCAAATTTTAAACTAAAATACTTCAACATTTTGGATTAGGTTACAAAATTTTCCTATGCAATATGTATATATTTTACACTTTCATCTACCTTAGTATATAGATTTAATTAACTTCATTTAATATATCATTCTTTCCTTTTATTTCTTCTTTTTCAACTCATTAATTTCTTCCTTTTTCATTAGTTTCACTCTCTTATTAATCTAATTAATCATTATTTAAGATTTTATTTTGTATTTTTGGTACTCATAAAGGGTGTAGGACTGAAAAGATTAAATACGAGTAGATAATTTTGCACATGTACCAGCAGATAGACCCAAATAATCATTTGTTTATATTTTTAAAAAAAGATGTTAAACTCTGTGTAAAATGTTATAAGCTCATGCTTTTCTGTCTTGAAACAGACATTACTGTCTATTATTTGTACGTGTGTATCAGAATTCCCTTAATGTTGTCTGTTTACATCTCATGAAATGCGCTTTCTTTTTGGCATTCATTTATATTTCACATGATAAATATTCAATACATGTATTTCATTAAATAACATTTAAGTTGTCAGAGTAGTGGTGAAGTAGTCTGCAGGCACTGGCTGTGATTCGACACCTGAACACAATTCCACAAAGTCTTGAACGGAGCCTAGCTGTCAGTCTGTGGCTGTGTCAAGTTCAGCCAAGTTCAAAGCCTATGGGGTACAGTAGACTATACTGTCCTGCATAGTCTCCCAGTTCAGGCACTTTCTTATTAAAGCACAAGGGGAGTGTTTCACAAAGGCTAATATCGACTTTAAGTTGAACTTAACTATGACAGGCCACTCATGCCACTGGTTGCTCTCACCATTATGATCTTTAGATAATATTTTGTCCTTCAATAATGAATTATCAAAATAAGTAAATTCTGTAGATGTGTGACTGAGATTTGTTCATCTCTTGAGAGACCATTGCTAGTAAATGGTGAGAGGAAACAGTGGAATGAACAGCCTGCCATAGTTAAGTCCAACTTAAAGTTGATCTTAATCTTTGTGAAACCCCCCCCCCCCCCCCCCCCCAAGGACTGACAAGCGTTTGTGCCTGCAGACTAGTGGTGTAGCCCTTATGATAGGAATATATTGGATTTTTTTTTCTACTATGGCATTCCAACTTTTAAACCATCTTTGTTTTAGTGACAAATATTTATAGAGTATGGACTTGCAAAAGAATTGTATTTCAATGTTTCCCAATAACTTATATTTCTTCGGGAGCTAAGCATGGCTAGTTAGGAGCTTTGTTGGGGAATGACTTTCAGGTAAATTTTGAAATGATCCCATATGTTTCTCGAGATTGATGTAATTGTGGAATCGTTTTTAAAAGGCTGATCATATTTTGAAAAGATTGGGATGGTATGTAGTGAAAGAGATGCTTTATCGAGGATAAATTCTGAAGCATGCATTACAGTCAGAGTTTGATACAACCACATTTAACTAGAGTAGAAAAACTTGATAGGTTGATATGCATTATTACGGCATATGAAATGGCTTTCTAATGCTGAATAGAGAGAGGGAATATGAAATGTGTATTAATTGAAGAAGTAGTTATTTCCCACTTAATGATAGGTAACACATTCAAATATATGTATTTGTATCCATAATTGAACCCTTTCATTTGTAGTTCAGTTTCTTCACTCTGTATTTTTGTTTATTCTCTCTGTGTAACTTACCATGTTCTTCTGTTTTCTATCATTTTATCTGTCTCTCTGTGTATGTGTATCTGAAAGTCTGTATGCTTGTTTGTCTGTCTCTCTGTCTCTCCTTCCCTTTTCTCCCCCCCCCCCTGCGTTTCTCTATCTGCCCCTATTCTTGTATGTCTGCCTATTTGCCCCCCCCCCCTCGTGCTCTCTCTCTCTCTCTCTCTCTCTCTCTCTCTCTTTCTCTTTCTCTCTCTCTCTCTCTTTCTCTTTCTCTCTCTCTCTCTCTCTAACTCTGTCCCATCTCTTCTTGTGAAAAACAGCATTATTCTTATTTGAATATCCCCCACCACATTGAACAGTGCCATCGATTAAAGAGAGGTTGGCCAACAAGGCACAGTAATGGCAACAAATATTAAATTGTTGGGCAGGCACAAACCAACAGCATAGCCATGTTGTGAGTGACCAACTGATACCAAGCTGGCCAAACTCTGTGTATCAAATGGCTCTGTACCCGAAAAACAGTCTGCTGCCCTCAATATTTTATTTAACACATTTACTCTTGACCTATAGAAATTCTATAGATTTTTTTGTATAGAATTCTATAGAATTTTTTTTGTAAATAATTCTATAGACCATTTTTTACCAGTTGAAAACCAGTTTATTATTCAGTAGCGACCAGCGTTGTGGCGTTGTGGCGTGCGCCTGTAATCCAGCTAACAGTGGAAGTTACAAACTGATTCAGCCGAGGACGCAGGTTCGAAACTGAGTCACGTCTTTCGGATGGTGACGTTAAAAGTCGGTCCCCAGACGTAAATAATCATATCTGATTGATACACGTCTGTAAAAACCCAATTACACACACACACACACACACACACTTGACCTATAGAGATAACTGATTCTCATTTAAGAACACAATCTATTCTATCTACAATTTCACAATTTATTTTTCATCAATGTGATTTCACTTACAGTCAGTCCCGGTAGTTGTCACTTTATCGCCTTCCGTAAGGAAGAAATGTGTTGTAGAATCGGTAAAAGGTCACCTTTGAACAGTGGCCACATGTTCTGTTGTCCCTTGATGGCCTTAATAATAATAGACAGGTTTTACTGTTCAGCCTTTTACATTTAAATCACAGAGAATAAAGCATATATGGGGCCTTTATATATACCCACCTTCCAAAAATTCCATCATAGTTGTATAGATGATATAAACAGATGTGTTGCCATGCTTAATTTATTACGTTTATCAATTGTTTGTATACATTTTGTAGATTTACAAACTGAAAAAAAGCTTGTTGTTCGAGTATATATTATCAATCTGAACTCTTTTCCATACTTTAGGCTTATGCTAAATATATTACTGATATGTACAAACTGTAATTATGATACATTATGATGAATCTGTGAATTATGTGCATAATAAACTATTAAATTGTAATGGAATTTACATCATTCACCTCATTTTTTGTCGTGTATTTGTGTGTCTGTGCTTCATTCCGTTGTTTCCGTGAGGGTATTACTGGTGGTTATCCAATATTTCCTCCGGGAATTTTACATCAAAGATGTAGGATTGGGCTAAGGTTACTTTGGTTCGAGGTCATATTTAGGGTGGGGTTAGGGTCAGGGCGTTTCGGCCAGGGTTAAAGTTAGGAATTGGCTGCGGAAGAATCGTCAAATAATATGTTCTGTTGTACAATCATTTGGTCATCATACAGTGTTTCATATCACCATATTTCTTCGCCATCATTTTCTTACATCAGTTTTTAGAGGGATTACTTAATTTTGCATAAGAAGAATATGGAAACTTAATTTTTTAAGGTTATTAAAAAAAGATCCTTCAGTAATTGAGACAAGATGAATTCATGTTTATTTTATAACATCCTTTATGAAAGACTTGTGTAAAATGAGCTTACCTTTTCAAAATTATACGAATGCGAACGGAATATTATGAATTATGTTCAACAAACTAAAAGACGGAACTCAGAGTTTACGATAAAGGGTTGGAAACCGGTCCCCTAGGCCCTACGCCAATGGGGGGGGGGGGGGGGGGTGGGGGAGAGGTGTCTATCGTGCAAACGAAATCAAAACAAAATATATTATTATACCCCTTCTCTCTCTCTCTCTCTCTCTCTCTCTCTCTCTCTCTCTCTCTCTCTCTCTCTCTTTCGAAGAGGTAGTCAAATGCCATCCGTGCCCCACCCCCATCGCCTAATCGCTACGCCGTTTCATCGTGCTGGTGTTAAATCAAACTGATTGTTTTTGCTGTTATTATTGTTTCTTTTGCAGAAGAAATTCTACATCGCGATATGCTGCGGTGTCGCACTAGGTATCCTCGTTCTCGTCTTGATCATCGTCTTGGCTTGATGATGACCTTTGACCTTTTACCTCTGACCTGCAGCAGAAAAGCGGAAGACAACTTAACATTAACACATCTAGCCGGCATTATAACATACACTTGAGTTTATACTCAATGAGTTTGTCAAGGTGTCTCAAGGAAGAGGCAAATAAGTTCAAGACGTGCTCAAGAATTTGCCTGAAAGGATATTTGAGAATTTTATTTCCAAGAAGAGAGATATATAATAATAAAGGAGATGAAATAGATGATAATTTATTCTCTGATAGTATTCAGCATTTTGTTGTCTTAGTGGAGAGTGTAATTCAGAGGCGTGCTCAAGAATTTTCTTTAAATTATATCATTTGATTTTTAAAGTAAATTAAGATGTTATTAATAGAAGATATAACAACAGATATTGTAACTAATTGGCAAAAGGAATTCAATATTCGTTGTCTCAATAAAGAGGGTTATTCACAAAGTTGAAGACATGCTAATACATTTTCCTGAAAAATTTAAATTGAGATAGAATAAACAAACGATAAGATAATATAATAACGAATTGACTAATGGAATTCAATGTGATGTCTTAATGAAGAGGGTAGTTTAAAAGAGTCACATTCTTGTATTATATCTCCTGAATCCGCCTATAAGTAATCGCGACTCTTATTATGATTATGATCATGAGGGCATTATATAACTTAAGTTATTATTTGCACTTGTCGTACCTCTAAAAGCTTTATTAAATGACAATATTGATTTTACTTATGTTATTTTCCCCTTATTTTGGTCATCCTGTATTCATTATGTATAGCCTTCTAGTGTGTTTTGTCGTTAAAATGATTTACACTCGGGAAGAGATTTGAAAAATGACAAAGGGACCACTTCGTTGAAAGAAGATCATGAGGTGACGGTTCTCCGAATAGTGGTAGTTTTAAAGGTTACATGTCGTTTTACCGGCCCTTTATAATCCGAAAATGAAATACGAGTATAGGGTTCGTAATTCCGAAAATGAAGCAGAACCTTGCATCGTTTTATATAGGAATTACGAATCCTGTTTGTTTTTCACTTTCGGAATAAAGAACCAATTTTCATTTTTGGAATTATGAACCACTTGGTATATTTAGTATTTCGGAATAATGAACCTTCGGGAAAATGAACATTGGGAACATCGAATAACCCCCGTTTCAAAATTACTGTTTTCAATATGTAGGCCACTTTTACTTCCATCAAATGATCCATTTTTAACAATTCATTTTTATTAACCTGCAGCCAGTCGGTCTTAAATTGTAGCATGTAAAGAACTTGGGCATAATGTATTTTCTACATCAATCAAATCGAATCATGGAATATATTTATAGGTTTGAACATGAATACTTCATATTGCGATTTTCTGCGTTTTGCTCTAATGTTTGTCTTTGATGTATCTCGTTGTCACGTGTGCTAATTGTAAAGTAGCTCTTACTATTTTCGACGAAATAAGATAGCTTGGAAAATGTTATAAAACTTGTAAGTCTTAATACGCCATTTGTCTTTGAGGAAATTCACCTCAGCCGATGTTTCTGATGAAAAGTTTGGATCGTTTCATTTGTCAGTATTGATGTAAAAGAATAGCTAATGATAATTGATCATTTTTATATAACTACCATTCCACTGTGTGATGTACATAATTGTATTTGCACGAAATTTAGATGAGATATATTTGTTTGCTTTTATACTATACTATATATTCTATTCTGTAAATAGAAAATTCACATTATACATGATGGATAACTAAGTTCATCAATGCATTAACTGTAAATATATGTTACAAGAGTTATTTAACCATTGCCTAAATTGCATTTATTCTTAATTTTTCAAAGAGTGAAAAGGTAAATATTTACGTAGAGTACATGTATATTGTATAGTATATACATGTATGTACCTGAAACTCTCATTCTTTTTCTTTCTCTCTCTTTCTCTCTCTCTCTCTTTCTCTCTCTCTCTCTTCTCTCTCTCTCTCTTTCTTCCTCTCTCTCTCTCTCCTTTTCTCTCTCTCTCTCTTTCCCCTCTCTCTCTTTCTCTCTCTCTCCCCCTCTCTCTCTCCCCTCATCCTCTCTCACTCCCTCTCTCTCTCCCACTCTCTCTCCCCTCTCCCCTTCTCCTCTCTCTCTCTCTCACTCCCTCTCTCTCATTCTCTCTCCCCCTCCCCCCCCCTCCCCCCTCTCCCCCTCTCTCTCCCCATCTCACTCCCTCTCTCATTTCCATTCCCACTCCCTGTCCACTTTCGAAATCACACGTGATTATGTATTTCCATATATATGTTTAATACAATACTGTTGTTTTTACTTTCTAGAAATGAGATATGAATCATCTAAAATCGTGTCGATCTATTATAAGTATGCATTCAACAAGTGAATTTTGTTAAAATGAATTACACGATAGTATTGCCTTATGTATGTTTGAATAAAAGTTTAACGAGAAATAATGAAATTACTGTTTCCCGCTCTATTTGTGTTTAATTAATTTTCTTATTTCTAAAGCAAGTTTTGCTGTGTACGACATGAAAGCTTGTCCTGGGTGTGTCTGACAATTCTACCACATATTGCTCTGGCGACAATTGATCTGAGGTCAATATCTTACCGGGCTTTAACTATGGACACAACACTACACCTAAACATTCCTATACCTCTAACCGTTTGAACTAAACCAGAATCTTAACTCAAGCGTCAATGTTAAATATTTTAACGAAATATGTAAATGTCGCCGGAGAGATATATCAGATCTGTCTGTCTGTCTGTCTGTCTGTCTGACATACACGTATCATAAACTATTTTATGTATTAAAAAGCGCGTGATTTACTTTTTGTTGTTGTTACCAGGTCTCCTTTTGAGAAACATCCAAATGTAAGAAAAATGGCCAGACTATAATTTAAAATAAAGGGAAATGAATTTAGGCGAATCTTTTCATGAGAAATGTAAAATTGGCCATGAGCAGATCTTCACGTCTTTGTTATCTTTGATTACTTATAATCCCAATATATTTGGAATGTTCCTCTGTTTCGTTGTTGACCTTATCGACCTGTTAAAGCATTATTTCTTCTTTCTTTTATTTACTTATTTATTTTGAAAGATGGATTATAAAAAGTATTGAGTATCATTTAATACCAAATCTCAATATCATCATCGGCATCCTTACCATACATCAAATCATTTACTAATAATTTGTAAAAAGGTTGCCATGAATCCTCAATATCTTTCTTTACAATTAAAAAAAAATACACTGGGAGAACCCTTCTATTTTTGTACACAACACATAAGAGGTGGAAATGTTGATTGAATAATTATTGATCCATCAGCATTTAATCAATTCATATTTGGGGATCTAATTTCATGGAGATCCAAAATGAGAATACTTATATAATGAACGAGTCGTAGATGAGTCCATATTGTCATAGCGAGAGGAATATATTCTTGTATCACACGAAAATAAAGCCATATAATGTTATTATTATTATCTATATCAGGCTGACTAGCGAAATAACAAAATTTGACTTACTTCCGTAAATATGGCTACGTTTTCGTGTGATATGTTGTTGTTGTTTTTTTTTCCGTATAAAAAATAATCATATACAATTACAAATATACGGCTGGTTGCCCATATTCAGCTGCAACGATAATTGTTGCTGCTGGTCTTCCATGGGGCCAGTTTACAATATACAAAATATACATAATATTACAAATTAAAAAAATAAATAATTACAAAGTATCAGTCGAAAACTTAATACAAATACTTAAAGGAAAAAACAAAAAAAACAAAAAAACAAACAAACAAATAAACAAAACAAACATCATATAAACATACATAAAGAGGTACTACAACAAGGTGATTATAGTCTGTTTAGGTTAGTCTTAAAGGTGGCAAAAGTGGGTAGTTGACGCAAATCAAGGGATAATTTATTATATTGAAAAGAAGCTCTGTACACAAAAGTTCTTTTACAATAATTAGTTCTTGGCTTAGGTAAAGAGAGATTATGTGCATTACGGAGGGAGTATGGAGAGGGTTTAAACTCAAATATGTCTTTCAAATATTCAGGGGTCATGTTATGTAATGTTTTGTAAGTTAGGAGTTATAAATGGATTTGTTGCCTTTCACGTATCATTTGCCAACCAAGACAGCTATGAATTTGACTGGTAGAAGTATGCGAATAAGGGTTAACTTTAAGTATGATTCTACCGGCCCTATTTTGAATTTTTTGGAGTTGTATTAAACTGTTACTGCAGGCAGATTGCCATACTACATCCCCGTAATCAAAGTGCGGTAATATGATGGAATTATAGATTAATTTCAATTCAGACATATTCACAAATTGTCTTAGTCTACATAAATAACTAACCATTTTACTTAGTTTGTTACACGTCTGTTTAATGTGAACATCCCATTTTAATTTTTCATCCACATGTACACCGAGATATTTAAAGCTCTTTACTTGGGACAACTGTTGTTCTTTGATTTTGATATTCAAAAGCGGTTGTTTTTTAAGCATGTTATGTGTTCCTAGTAACATGCATACAGTTTTGTCGTAATTGATCTTTAAGTTGTTTTTATTCATCCACGCATCAAGGCTATTAATTTCTTTATTTAAAACAGTTTCCACCACTTTTGGATTTGTATGTGAATAATAAATGACTGTATCATCTGCATAAAGATGGACCTTGCAGGTGTTGAAAGCAGAATTGATGTCATTTATAAAAATAATGAACAACAGGGGCCCCAGCAAAGAACCTTGCGGCACACCTTTCGTAGTTAATCTTTCATCAGAAAGGACATTATTTACCGAAGTTCTTATTCTTCTGTTTGATAAATAGTGTTTGAACCATTGTAATTCTACACCAATTACACCCATAGATTCAAGTTTAGATACAAGGATTAGGTGATCAACCATATCAAATGCTTTTTGCAAGTCTACGAAAATTGTTCCAACGTAATTACCTTTATCGATAGAGTAAAACCAATCATCTGTGACAGCGGCTAGTGCTGTCACGGTGGAGTGTTTTGGACGAAAACCTGACTGATTTTGGGAGAGCAAGGAATGACACTTTAAATAATCAAGCAATTGTCGCTGAACGACTCTTTCCATAACCTTAGAGGCGCAAGGCAACAGTGAGATCGGCCTATAATTATTGAAATCAAGTTTATCTCCTTTTTTGTGTATTGGTATTACTTTTTGCGACTTTCCATTTGTCAGGCACAACCCCTTCCGATAAAGATTTGTTGATTAAAAAGGTAAAAGATTCAATCTTTTCAGATATTGACTCTTTAAGAATATACATAGAAATTTCGTCTAACCCGACGGACTTTTTTGTTTTCATTGACATTACTTGTTTCAAGACATAATATTGAGATACATTAACAAATTTAAATTTTCTGTCAGAAACCTTTTCACCATGGGCATAAAGCCGGTTATTAGCCCTTGTGTTATTTGTGCATACATTTGTCGCTATATCTGCAAAGTGGTTATTAAACTCATTCGCTATTACACTTGAATTTTCTTTTGGAAAAGTGCTGTTAGAAGAATTACAATTACCCATTAAACTTTTGAGTGTTGTCCAAGATTCATTTCTATTGGTGACTTCAGACAGTTTATCACATATGTGTTTACGTTTGGATTTTCTTATCTCGGTGGTAACTTTATTTTTCATGCGTTTGTACAGTTTCCATAAGTCATCACTGTTTCTCTTTTTGGCTTTCAGTTTTGCTTTATCTCTCTTTTTCATTAAAGTAAGTATTTCACAATTCACCCATAATAATGAGTTGCCCATTGAGACCATTTGCAAAAACCAAAAAGTCCTCATAGTGATTAAAAACCTTGACTTTTGAATTTGGTGGTCTATACCAGTTTACAAAAATAATTGGCTTCGTGTTCTTCAAACAAACTTTTATGCACAATGCTTCTAAACGTTCAAGAGAATCATGACTAAGTTGCTATGAATAGACTCATGCACATAAATGGCCACTCCACCCCCATTTCTATCTCTATCTTTTCGAAGTAATGAATAATGGGGTATGTACATTTCAGTGTCTGCAATAGAGCTGTCTAATCTAGTCTCATTCAGAGCAAGAACTTGTATTTCATTTTCAAACATGATTTGCTTGATTTCTTCATGATATTTCAAAAGACTTACAATATTCAGGTGGACAAATTTAATCCCTTTACTAGAAAGTTGATCATATTTTAAAGATATGTTTTCACCAGATTTACATGAGGGATCTATGTTATTAGAATCGTCGACGTCGGACTCTGAATTATTCACAATATAATTTGGAAGATGGTTTAAAAGACATCTTGAACACTCCCAATTTATAAAATGCTCATTAGGATCATCGTAAATCTTTACAGAGATTTCTGAACATGATATGTGTACCCAGTTTCGGCAAGAAGTACAGAGAAGTGCTTTCTGATTTGCTTTAACACATTTACTACAGCGAACGAATGGAAATTGTTGTACCATTTCAACAACAAAAAAAAACGAAAACAAAAAAAACAAAAGTTTTTAAAAAAAAGTATACAAAATACACTAAAATACTACTAAACAAAACTTAATCATGTAAGATACGTATATAAGAAGCTTGTACTGTGCACACCACAACATGACGCATGAAGTTTAACCAACATTAAACAAAACGCAAAATTGATTAAGCACCCGAAGAGAATTCAGGTTTTAAAGCTGGGCGTAGACAAGATAATTATAGGCCAGGAATTGCTCTGCAAGTCTTCATCGAATACAATCACATGCTCCCAATATAACCGTGAGGCAGTGCGAGACAATTATTTAACATAATAGTCCTGAGGGATAAAGTGGATTGCCAACAAAATGTAATTGTATTGGAATAAGCTGATACCAACAATGATTTAACAATATATATATATAAACGGAAAGTCATACTAAAGAAAGAGTCTAAGCACGATGGTTTACCTTTAAACAAACAAAGTGTAGAGAGAACAAACACCAACGCAACTCGATGCATGCATGGCCAGTCCAGTGCTTCCAACATAAAGAAGTTTCAGCGAAGCGTTCAGCGTTCATGTACAGTAAGACGCTTAACGAGATGGATTAGTTGCTACTTCCACTTTCCATGCAAATAAAATTCCAGGTACAATACACGCGATAATTATGACTCCCCAGCTAACCATCGACTGAGCATGTTCAAAAAGACGCTTAACGAGATGGATTAGTTGCTACTTCCAGTTTCTATGCAAATAAAATTCCAGGTACAATACACGCGATAACTAACCATCGACTGATCATGCTTATGAAGACGACGTTAGTTTGCTGATATCGGTCATCTGTGTAAGAATCACACGGCGTCCATCAGTGGTCAAAACTATGATTCGGCCATCTTGAGTCCAAATCGCTTTCATTCATTATCGATAATTGAAGTTACGAGATGACTGAGCAATACGTAAACAATATTGGTCAGTCATCCGGGTACTGCGCTAAAGATATTGACTACACTGATTTATTTTACCTCTTGGAAGCCTTCTATACACTGTTGGTCATAAAGGTGGAAAAATTGTTTTACCCCAGTTTATGGAATGACAATGATTTATTCCTAATAGATCTAGATAATAGTATACATTCTCAGATTTTATTGAATAATACTTTGTGAGTGTTTGTTTTGCGTGACTGCTAAAGCATGTGTGTGATATTATGCTTATCAACTAGGGGACCTACGGCCTTAAGTCATAACTGACAGTAATGAGGATTAATGCCTCACACAAAGGGCACTAATATAGCACATAAACACGGTTTTGATCCTGGGGCCTCACAGTTACGAGGCCATTGCTTTGCCACTGAATCAAGACTTACGCAGCGGAGGCTAGGGTAGGGGGCAGCCCCCACAAATACCCCCCCCCCAAGACAACGCAATATATTATCAATAATTCATTGCAATTCCCCGTCACCAACAGGAAAAATTCCTCTGTACGGCCATGCATTATGGTTCAAGGCATGGGCACACAGAGGATTTGTTTATGTTGGGGATCGGGGCAAAGTGCAATGAATTATTGATAATTTATTGCATTTTCTTTGGTGAAGGTTATGGGACAAATTATCACTAAGGGGATCTGAATGTAGCTATCTTTCCAAAGCGAAGCTGAGGAAAGATAGCGTATACATTCAGATCGCCGAGGAAGTGATAGTTTGCCATGGCCTGAAACCAAAAGGTTATGATTTGCTTTATATTCCACATCGAAAACATGTCACTTCTTCCGTCAATTTAGAGCAACAAGTCATCAATTAACAGCTAGCAAACGATGTGCGATCATAGTGCATGCAGTACTTACGTGGTACGTATACGCAACGTATACAATCTTCAGTGACAGTACGTTGCACTTTGTAACGAACTATCTTTCATCACGTGATTTACTTTTGACCAATCGTAGCGCAAGATTCTTAGTATGTGGAATATGATTACTGCTATCTATTGAGGGGGAACGAAACATAAGCAGGATAATAAATTGAACACAATAAGCCTTGACCTTTTGGCTTTTTTTTCAAATTGCATTTTTAACAGTGATATTGAACCCTCAAAACATCGCTAATCGGTTCAGTATGAACGGAAGTACTGTTCAAACATAATGTCAATGTTAGTACATTGCACTTAAATATCATCTGGAAAAGAAACACGATAAAACACTGTTTATATAACTTACTCACACAGTGGCATATCCAGATATTGATAAACAGTAGGGCTAAATTAGGTCCATAGGTGAGCCGGAATAACTAATGAAAGGCATTCTCCACTTTAACACCAATATTGCAAACACGACTACGACGCGTTTAAACGTGGGGGGGGGGGGGGGGGGGGGGGGGCGTACGTCAGTTCCATCCTTTGTTGGATACGCCACTGTATTTATTTGTATAGGTCCTATATAACGTGGGCTTTTATGGAATTATTACCTAGTTCGTGACTGGCTATCATCCAAAAGATAATAAGCTCAAGGACATTCAACTGGGCTATACTTATGCCTGCAATATTCTTTAATCAGCGTTTCTGCAACAGTGCGATACTATGTCAAACTAGAAGGAGATACTAGGGATATAGGAGGTGGTGGATTGCTAATTAAGTCGTACTTGTGTTGGATCGTGCGATCATAAGAAACGAAAATGGAGAATGTTTCCAGAGTCGTTGGACCCGAAGAAATGTCCTTTTCTGCTGCGGACTACGGGGTTTTAGGTGTCATGCTCACCTTGTCTCTCGGCATCGGTTTCTACCAGGCTTGCAGCGGCGGGAAGCAGAGGACGGCTGAGGAGTTCTTGATGGCCAATCGTAGCATGCACCCGGTCCCCGTGGCCCTGTCGCTGGTGGCCAGCTTTATCTCAGCCATAACTTTCCTGGGCACCCCTTCTGAAAACTATGTCCACGGTATCATGCATAGCTGGAACTGGTTGGCCAGTATATTCTCATCTCTCGCCACGGTGGTCTTATTCATGCCGACATTTTACGAGCTGGGTCTTACAAGTTCAAATGAGGTAGGTGCGAATATTGTAACATGAAACTGGACAACTTAGAGCTTAAAACAGTATTGTTTTTCGTTTTCTGTGGTCTCTCGATCTTTCAAGGGTTTTCAATTTATTCAGCCTTTGAATATTGTAACATGAAACTGGACAATTTAGAGCATAAAACACCATTTGTTTTCCATTTTCTATGGTCTCTCGATCTTTCATAGGTTTTCAATTGTATTCAGCCTTTGTCAATTCTGCAGGTAATTACTAAAATGATATCGCACAGTTCCCTTTCAATTTTGAAAGAAAAAAGAGAAACAAAAGTCGTCAGAGTTTTGATTCATATCTATACAGCCGGGGTAATATTGGAGCAATTTGAGCACCTTGCAGGGTGGATATGTGCGCTATATAAATATCCAATATTATTAATATTATTATAACAATAATAACAACAAATATTTTCTTTATGGGCAGTACCTGGAGCGACGGTTTAGCAGAGGTGTTCGCTTTCTTGGTACCTTCATGTTTACGTTCTATATGGTAAGTTGCAATCCTCCTGTTTTCGATACTCTGAAGAAATATGCTCATAACGGAGGTACCGTGGTTTAATGGTTCACTCACCAAACTCTCAATCCAAGAGTTGATGGGTTCAAATCTCAGCCCGGTACTAACGTCCCTAGGCAAGGCATTAGTTCCACATTTTGCCACTTTCAACCTTGGTGTAGATATATCACGTGTAGGGGTCACATGCTTACTCTGCATAAGTATTGTTATGTCACTGATCACATACAAGATAAAATATTGTCAGGTCCCTGGCAATAGCTGCGATAATAATCATTTTAGGGCCGTCAGGAACAGGAAGAACAGTACATTGATGCAAATGAGGCTTCCATTAAAGGTACTATGTCCCTTTTGCAAGGTCAAATTCCCGGATGGCATTTGAAAGATAATACTAATTTAGAACTCCCCTTAAAAAAATGGGACTTGAAAATGTCTTTAATTGGGAAAATAACGAGTATTAGTTGTCAAATCGACTTAGGAGCTATAGAGCCATTAAGTAATAGTCTTGATTTTCAGACCATTGTAATGCATGGTCGTATGTTTTATGCTGCGCAAAGATTCAATCAGTTTGATTTTGGCCATTACAAGAAGTGGATTAGTGATGTAGACAAATCCTTTACAGCTCATTTTATGTATGTTATTACCAAAGAAGAAGAAAAAGCCAGTCAGTCACTCAATACTGACAATAGTGTCTGACAGTGAAGTCTAGCAAGTAAACGGGGTTCCTTGCATAAGTTGAATACTAGGACACTGCTAACTCTTAAATTTCACAGATAGGACATATCTACATGATATATTCATAATTCCTGCAAAGTTCAACAGAATTTGAGGTTGGCTGCAAAGGGACATAGTATCTTTAACATACAGATAATATAGATTAGTCTGCATATAGTGCTATGTCACTGATCACATACAGGATATTGTCAGTTACCTGGCAATAGCTGCGATAATAATCATTTCAGGGCCATCAATCAAGAATAACAGTACTGGTGCTGATGAGGCTTCCATACAAAAAAAGATTATTATAATTATCATTATTATAGTTATTATAAGATGTAGTAATAGTAGTAGAAGTAGTAGTATAGTAGTAGAAGTAGTAGTAGTAGTAGTAGTAGTAGTAGTAATAGTAGTAGTAACATTACTACCATCGTCATTATCATCATCATCATTACCATCATCATTACCATTAAATGGGGCAACGTAAACTTTACTACGATGTTCAGATGTTAATAGTTGTGAGCACATAATAGTGAAATCATTAACGCATAAAGACCAAGGTAGGGCCGGCCTGCGCATATTTTTTTTTTTTACACAAGTGTTTAGCCAGTTCAGTCAAATACACTGTGCGAATGACTGGAGACAGAGTCTAACATTACTCTTCGCGGTATTTTTGGATTGCTGAAGCTGTACATACTCAGGCGTGCAGCTAGCATCGGCTGCGATTACCTACATTAATAATTATTGATTGCCTACAATTATTGTAGGCAGGGGCGGCGATCGCGGGGGTGGGGTCACGTTCCCCCCTCATTTCTTTATAGGGGGTATCGTCCCCCCCCCCCTCGGAAAATTCGAAAAAGTGCACACAAAAAATGTGTATAGCAAATACTGACTAAAAACTGAAACACACTTATAAGCTCTGGAGGGCCCAAGAGTACAGCGTTTAGACTAATAAAAATGCAAAAAATCTTCTCGCTCGGTCGCTAGCATCACTCGCATAATATCCTTCAAAACATACAATATTGTAGAACATCTGTATTCAGTTAGTATCATGTAAGCACAGTTTACACTGTATGTTTACAAGATTCAGAGTTATAGAAAGAGATCAGTGCTACAAAATTGAATATTTCGCTTGCTCTTTGCAGTATTAAATGAGTTACTACAACAAAGTGTATATATTTGCCAGGCTGATATTTGCCATTTCAACTCCCGTAGCGATATCAATATACACTTATATAACAAAGGCCTAGAGTGGAAAATAGAAATCCCATCCATGCCCAAGCTCCCTGCTGATACTAAAATTAGCCTAATAAACTGATATTAACAACCCTTCGGACTGCAGACTAATTTCCAGCAAAGTAAAGGTGAAGTGTAAAAAAAAGAGGTATATTGCTTGGTTTTATACTATAGTTTTGCTAGGGAAAGTAATTTTTTAATACAACAAAACTTCAAAACCTGTGAAGGGTAGTCGGTACCGTCACCTTCGCCCCTCTCGTTCACTATGCTCCCTCGTCCCTCGCACAAGCGTACTGAGAGGAGCTTGGGGGAAGTTGCCCCCCCCCCCACAAAAATTCAAACGTTTTTTTCTCACTTTTTTGCAAATTATACTTTTGATACCTAATTTGTGACAATGACAGGTCATTTATTGGCGTGGGGTCAAGGGGGCGGAGCCTCCTAAAACTCAGGGGTTTTAATTAGGCATTTAATTATGGTCAGGTAAGCCCCCGCGTTTGTATGCGTTTATGGAAAATTCCCATATGTACAGTCGGGCAAAAAATATGCTTATTTGGAAGCCAACATGTCAAGGTTCGCGGCACCTTCACTTTTTTTGAAAAAGTATGTTGAAGAGAACCTGCCAGTCTCACAAAATATAAGATATCAAAATATGCTCATCTGACCGTAATTATAATACCTAAAATCCCAGAGCTTTAAGAGGCTCCGCCCCCTTGACCCCACGTATTTCCTTCAATCTATCCTCTTCTTTTTCGTCATGTATTTCTTTGTTTTTTCATATAAATGTATCCTCTTCTCTTCCGTTATGTATTTCTTTGTTTTTCCTTTTCATATCCTCTCCACTCTCCTTATGTATTTCTTTGTTTTTCCTTTTCTATTATCTTCCCTTCCCTGGGTGTACGGGTTTCCCTTGCTTGCACGGTCAAGTACTATAGGTCAAGGTGTAATAGGTGTAATACTGATACATGTATACATAACAGAAGAGTAATGTTGATTGACAAGTAATGGTTATTTTTAAAACGATATTTAGACATAGCTCCGTATACTATTAAATGTACAAAAAATATACACGTTAATATAGTCAAGCCCAGTTCCATTCTTTGGCAAGATTTTCTTTTGATTTGTTAATACATATGAATGTAAAACTTGTTTTTTTCTATTTTCATATATATACACACAAATAATACGGTATCGTGTAACTTTTTTCCATTTATAAAAGAAAAGAAAAAAAAACACAAAGTGAAAGCATTATAATGAAAGATAACAAATCTTTGAACAAATACAATCATCAATGTGTTCATAAAAATGAAAAGGATGTATTAGAAAATACAGATGTATTAGATCATACAGATATGCGTACACTGTGTTGTACACTTTGGACCAATTACATATATATCGTTAAGTTTAATTTTTTTACTATGTACAATGCAATCCCATGTACTTTATTTTATTTTGTTGGAAATGGATATAAATGAAACGAAACGAAACGAAACGAAACATGCACAAATCCTGTAAAAGCTTAAGGGCAGCTATAAACTTTAACAAGCAAGTGTTTAAAAGGAAGACAAGTAAAATAAAGTCGAGCCCACGACTCTCAAGGCACCATTTCAAGTATAGTTCGGCGCCAACGAAGAGCATCGCGGGGAATAAACCTTGTGAACTTTTTAAGACATTCTACAGAGCAGTGAAGCACCGGGTACGTGATAATATTTGGAATAGCCTTTCCAGTTTATCAAAAGTGCTAAATCCCTGTCAATGTTATGTCATCATGAGCACAAGCGGATACCAGGGCTCAGGCGCGTACGCAGGATTTTTTCAAGGGGGGGGGGGG